AAACCCACTGCCTCGCTCCTGCGTCTGGTCTCCAGCTTCCTCCGTCCATGCACTGTTCTCTCTTCATTCCTTCCCACTGGTGGGGCATATCCTCCAGTAGATTCTCCAGAGAGTGTACAAAAGGTGAAAAAATTTTGAGAACTGTCAGGCCTGAAAATGTCTTTTTGCGCACCTTTTTCACCCGTGTAACACTTGAGCAGATATGGAGTTCTGGGATGAAAATACATTTCCTTTAGAAGTGTCTTCTAGCTTTAAGTCTTGCTTTTGAGAAGTCTGAAATGACTGACTCCTGATCATGTATGTGTGACCTTTCCCCCCACTTTGAAAGCTGGTAGAATGCACCTAGCTTCAGTACTCTGAAACCTAAAAATAAAAAGTTGGTGCCAGGCACTTGATGAAACTTTTTAATCTGGAAAAATGTCTCTTGGTCCAAGGAATACTCTTCCATCATATTTTTGAAGATAATTTTCCTTCTGTATCACTATGGTCTCCTTTTATAACACTAAACTTATTTATTATTTGATCTCTTAGAGACTGATCCTCAAATAATAGTTATATCTTCTCTCAAATATTCTCTCCTTTGTCTTTTTGCACTACTTTCTAAGAGTTCTTCTCAACTTCATCTGCTGACTCTTTCCCTGAGTTATTTCTGCTGTCATATTTTAAATTGCAATCATGGTGTTTATTGTTCACTAAAGTTTTAATAGGATCCTGTTCCTGTTTCATAAATGCAATACCTTCTATTATGTCTGAGATTAAAACAGTAACACCCTTGCTGGAGTTTTCAGGTGCCAGTCTCTGGTTCCCATGTGAGTGAATGCTGTCTGATGCTATGTCAGTACACCACCTGTGTTCTCACCTCTGCTGTTTCCACCAGGTATGCTTCTCAGAATGCTGCACTTAGGAATGACTGGGTAGCCTGTGCTTATACTTAGGAAAGCATTAAGGTCCTTCTGACTCCATTAGTGCTCAGCAAATAGAAGCACTAAACTCTTGGTCTTTGAAACCTGCCATGTCTCTGCTTTTCAAAGTTATTAAAGCGACGAAGCCCTTTCTGCAAACAGGCAGGCTTCACATTGTGGGCCAAGATGAGCAGCTTACTTCAGCTAGCCCCTACCTGCATCTCCGGGTTTATTTAATCACATCAACTTGCCACTTCAAAGTGGCTTCTACAGGCTCTGTACCTGCAGGGCTGGGCTAAACTAAACGGTAGCTTCATAGTCCTCTCCGGGCCTCTCCAACACCTGTGGCTTTCCTCTGTGTTGCACAACCACTGAGGCTGGTCCCCAGAGACATGAAGACTTGCTCGTTTCCAGCTAAGACAGGCAGCTTCACAAATACGTGTGCTCAGAGTGTTCAGCACACTCTCTGGCTAAGGAAGTCAGGTCTCAGACTCCGAGACTATGCGAATGACACTGTCTGCCTTCCACGACCCACTCCAGCCATGAGACAGGTGTGAGCAGGTCCAGTAGCCAAGAGACCAAGGAGAGGGTCTGGAAGCTGCGGTTCCACTAAGCCACACACACAAAAAAATTACTCTTATTCTATTAACAGTAACTAGAGAGGGAGGGAGGGAGGGAGGGAGGGAGGGAGGGAGGGAAGAAGGAAGGAAGGAAGGAAGGAAGGAAGGAAGGAAGGAAGGAAGGAAGGAAGGAAGGAAGGAAGGAAGGAAGGAAGGAAGGAAGGGTAATCGCCTCAGTTATAGATTATAACTTGGAGACCCCAAAGGAGGTTATCTAACACTTCTTTAATCTGGATTTTTTCCCCTGTAAATGTTGGGCAGCCTTGGTGCTCATTCTTAGACAAACTCTCATCTTTTCTATTAACCTTCCCTTTCTTGTGATCTTATCAAGCACCATTATTTTTAAAATAACATTCTATATGTTGATAACTCCTGTACCAGAAACAAACTTGCATCTCCACCTGTCTATCCAACATCTCCATTTAGATTTCTAATAGGAGCACCAAACTTAACAAGTCTAAAGCTGAGTTCCCGATCTTCTCAAAAGACCTATTCCTACTGCAGTCTTCCCCATCTCGGTTAATAGCCATTCTTTATTTCCAGCTGCTTAACAAAACCTTACAGTCATCCTCACATCTTCTACTTGTCCTGCATAGTGGACATTAAACTTTATTAATCTTTGTATGCCTGAAAAGTGTTTTATTATGCTTTCACATCTGAAATTGAGAATTCTTCAAAGTTATTTTCACTCAAAAATTTGGAAAATCAAATTTCTCAATTATTTTCTCTTTTCTATGGTTGTAAAACAGAATTAGTTTTATTCTTCTTCCTTGGTAGTCGGTCTCTCATCAGCCTTTAGAACCCTGTTGTTATTCTAGATGCTCTAAAATGTTACAATTTTATAAATACATGTCGATCTTTTCCAGTCATCTTGCTTCATATTCACAGAATCCTTTTAAGGACAATTACTTTTCATGAGAAATTTTCTTCTATTAATTCTTTGATTATTTTTTTCCCTAATCATTCTACTTCACTGCTTCTAAAACTTCTTTTAGAAGAGGTTAGAACCAGTACATCTATCTTTTACATTGCTTAACTTTCCTCTCATGCTTTCTATTTCTCAAACTTTTTTGCCCTTTATCCTGTAAGAAAACACTTGGCGCAATCTTCCAACTTACTAATTTGCTCTTGAAATGTGTAGTTTCTGTTCTTCCGCCACCTAATAAGGCTGCTCATTTTCAAGATCTCCAATATATTCTTTTTAAAAAATGTTCTTTCTCTCAGTGGATTGAGCACGGGCCTGTGAAGCAAAGGGTCACTGGTTTGATTCCCAGTCAGGGCACATGCCTGGGCTGTGGGTCAGGTCCCCAGTAGGGGGCATGTGAGAGGCAACCACACATTGATGTTTCTCTCCCTCTCTTTCTCCTTCTCTTCCCCTCTCTCTAAAAATAAATATATTTTTTACAAAAAGGTTCTTTCTACATGAATATGGCATTCTCTCATTCTTTGTTGAGAAATACCAATGACACTTTCAAAAATTTAGCTTCTTCCATTTACTAATTTTTGTGTTTCTCTTTAATGATGTTGATTTTCTTAAAAATATCTGTTGACTTTTTTTTGTTGCATGTTTACATTGAAGAATTTTGTCAGTCAGCCTATAAATGCTCATTGTTTACTGCAGGATGCTCTTTTATGACTGTAGAGAGGAGAAATTGCTGGAAAGGATATGTTGTTAGTCCACCTTCTCAGCATAAGAAGTCCAAGTTCCTCCAGGGGTTTCTATCCACCTTAAAGCTCTGACCCAAATTTATAGTGCATTTTCCAGCTAGAAAGCATTTGTCTCTGCTATGTGGTACAAAAGTTAGGCTGGACCCATATGCTGCTCCAACGCTATAATCAACCACACTTATATTTTTCCCAGGACCTCGAAGCACCACTGTTCTTACCTTTCTTACCTTTTCTCCTGACTGTGTTTTTTAAGCTAATGCTTCTCTACTCAAATTGATCCCAATGGTCTTGTATCCTTCGTATTCCTCAAACTTTCTCATCTTCCCAGAAAAGCAGCCTTAATGCTAACCAGCTCTGCTAAAGTTAGTTTTGTTTTTAGCTTTTAAATTTTTTTTCTATTTTTCCTCCACTTTCTAAGGATTTGAGGTACTTCTAGGTAATCCCTTAAAATTGAAATGAATTTCTTTGCCATTTCCCCAAATAACTGATTTTTTTTGTCTAATAACAATATAACAATTGGTCTTTTTAAATTAAGACTCTACTGCATAACACTACAAAGCAAGAAAAGAAAAAGAGAAAGAAATAAACTTCATGAAGTCAATCACATTCACAAGCCTTCAAGTCTTGGAATATCCAGAAAGTTAACCACTTTCAACAAAAACAGTTCAATATAATTATCTTATAAAAACAACCAGGACCAATTAAAATATGACTGAATGTTTCAAACCCATTACCACAAATTTATTATATATTTTAACTATAGCTAATGTTAAATTTTCATTTACCTTTCCATTCACATTCTTAAAGTATACTAACTATATAAAAAAGTAAAATTATATATTAAATATACATTATAAATCTGTTACATGTTATATATACTATACATATCAAAACTATATTAACACTTAGGCAGATTTTTCATTCATATAATATATATATACATGTCCACTAGATTTTTTTTAATGATGAACAATGATGTATACTGTCTTCTGAGATTTAATTCCTCTAGTAAGAAAGTTGAAAAACACAACTTTAAAAAATAATCTAGGTATTTAACACAGATTTCCACTTTCTCAAAATCTGGTAGTAATAAATACAAGAACTCCTTCAAATGAGTAAACAGAAAAAAAGGTTTCAATCATACAAACATTAAAGATACAGCAAAAACCAGACACTTGCATGAAGTTCTAAGCACAAATGAAGTCCTTCAAAATAGAAATGCAACAGTCCTCCTCACGCTAACAGGTCACTCACTATGCTCTAACCCTTGCACCTACTTACTCTTGCACCTAAAACAAAACCCAGAAAATATTTTTTAAATAGTGGGTTTTTTTTAAAGCAGTTAGAAGAGACTCAAAAGACATATTTGAATCCCAAACCCATTCATTACCCACTAGTTGATGCCCGGGCCAAGTTTCTTCAAAGGCGCATTTTCCTGAAGTGCACAATGGGGGCGGCAGCATCAGCCTAGAACTGCTATTCGCACTCATGAAATGAGTAACTGTTAGCTTCTGAACCAGAATTTCTGTCATTTTAACCCACGACATATTTTAGTAAACATTAAGACTTCTATTTCATATTAGAAAGTTAAAGCGAATCCCCCACAGGTATAATATTAAATGTGTTTTTCCAGTTTTATACCACCCTACTTAAATTCTCTGCTTCTCTACTCCTAATCCTCTTAAACAGTCAAACTAAAGGCCAACCAAGGGGTTATGTGACTTTACTAAGGTTATATTCTTAGTGAACAACAAAGCCAAGATTCTACTTACTCATACACATGTATACAAAGTTACTTTGGAGTATTTACCTTTCTACATGCAGGACAAAGGCCATTTTCATCAGTGCGAATTCTATGCCAACAAAATCGGCAAATTTGGTAGCCACAGGTGCAAGGGAAAAAATTGATATCATCTATCTCCAAGGGCTCCATGCAAAGAGGACATTCCACAGGGTCTTCCTTCGCATCAGGACTGCGAGACATCTTCACGTTTATTAAACAGCAGCAAAAGTTTACAATAATTTAAGGGAGAAAGAAGTTCAGCACTGAGAATTAAAATGTAGAACTTCAAAGACCTGCATGAAAAGAAACAAAATATACTATTTACTACTGGAAAAAACTGCATTATCAAGAATCATTTTATCAAAAATTTTGAAAAATATTAATCAGATCATTTTTGCTATCATCTCAGAATAGAGTTCAGAATGGAATCCTAAAACTTTCTGCATGTCAAGATAAAAAGCTTGGCATTAACTGTTCTGATTCAACAGAAAAACAGAAGAACTTCCTTCTTTCAACATAAAACATTTAGTAACAATCTAGTACTAATCATAGCACATTTTAGGGGAATAAGTGATATACAGAAGCATCTTCAGCCTTCAAATACACTGTGAACTGTCTTATCTCTGACCTCAAAGCTAGTGATACTTAAAACTGCCACATAACTGAAGGAGTATGATATTATTCTAAAATGCATCATAATTTACAAAATAAGCCTAATGAAAAAGGCTTCAGTCATCTAAAATTGCATGTTAATACCAAACCCTTACCAAAGAAAACAAAGGTTAAAGTTTTTTAAAAAGTATGCTGTATAATCTAACTTTACAATTAAATATGTATAATGTGTCAACAAAAACTTCTGGGAGAATAAGCACATATTATACAAAATAAATAAAAAATAATGTATCTTTGTAAATTATGCACAACTGAAAAGTCTTAGGTAACAATTTAAGTTAAAGTCACTGGTAGTAACATTAGGGTGAAATCACTATTTTAGGTTAAAAAACTGATAGCCTCCAAAATATAGCTCCATATAACCAATACCTGTCAAAATAAGAGGGTTTTTGTTTGTTTTTTTTTACATAATGTGACAAAATAATTCTAAAGTTGACATGAAAGGATAAATGCATGAGAACTGCTTTAGAACTTCTGGGGGGAAATGTGGGGATTTGTACCATCAGATACTAAACTGTATTACAAAGCTACTATTATTTACATAATTTGACACTGGCACAAATATACACGTAAGATCAAAGAAACTAAACTAAAAGTCTAGAAAAGTAACTATAAATTTATGAGATTTAGTATTTTATAAAAGTGACATTACAAATCAATGTGGCAAGGACGGCCCACTTAATCAGTAATAGGATACTGGTCCCTTCCACTTTAAGAGAAACACAGCACATATCTATGTCATGCTGCCATCAAAACAGACCCCAGATGATCTGTGTAAAGAAATATACCTTGAAAAAAAAAAAGAAATATACCTTGAAATAAATTATTAACATGTTAGAAAAAATAACGGACTTTTTCAAATCTTGGGATACAGAAGGTCTTCCTAGGGAAAAACAAATTCAGAAGCCCTAAAAGAAAGGCATGTTCAACTTAGTGACATGGAATAAACACCCATAAACACAATGAAAGGCAAGCAAGAGAGTAAAGGATACATACACGATACGTAATGAGGAGTTAGTGTCCAGAATACATATTTTAAAATCTCATAATGCAATTTTAAAAAGGCAAATAAGTGAAAAGAAAAAATGAGAACAGAATGAGTAGTTCAGAGAATTACAAATGATTACAACATGTGAAAAGATGACCAATCTTTTTTGGCTTGTAAACAGTAAAATAGCATTTTCCCCCCACCTGTCAGAGAAGTCCGTCTCCCCACAAAGTAGACATTATCACTGATCTATGTTCCTCTTCCTAAGGAGGAAATGGGAGCACAGAGCACCCTGTCTCGAGTTGCACGGCAATTCGGTGGTACAGCCTGGATTCACTCCAGGAAGTCAGCCCCAGAATCTGTGCTCTTTCCCACTCTCTTGTACCACCTTAACACCTGTCCGGCATTAATACTCACACGTGTGTACCAGGTATTTTGCTACATTTTGCAGCATTGCTCATACCGATAGAGAACTGCACGTAATCCGTTGAGAAATCATTAATAATGACATTGTCATAATAAGGTAGATAGATGTGTGTGTTCAATTGAGATGTCTATTACAATGTTTTTTACTTTTAAAAACAAGTTGAAGACTAATATATTTGATTTGTTTTCTCTAAAAAAATAAAGCACATGAAAGGTTACACACCAAAGTGTTACCACATCATAAGACAAAATAGAGGAAAGTAAGCTACAAATTTATTTTCTGAAAAATCTGTATTACCTGAATTGTTATAACAAATATTTTTGCAGTTCAAATGGCTGACTTAAAAAAATTATCTTCATCTCATTTAGGAAAATTACATGACTTTTGTTAACAATTAGCAGAAAAATGAAATATCTTCCTATAGTTATTTCAAAATAAGGCTTTTTAAAAAGAAAGAAATGGTATATGTAGTTATGAACAATTAGGGTGCCTTGCCTTGCAGACCCAATTTTGCCATTGCAAGTTCTCTCGTATATAAAATGAGAGGTTTAGAGACTTCTAATGGCTCTTCCAAGTTGAATATCCAAAAACTATACCAGTAGAAAATACAGACTCAAACACGTGTTCTACAAACAGGCAACTAAAAAACTATAATAATCAAGGGGTGCTATCTACTAAACAGGCAACTAAACTAAAATAAATGTGCTATCTACCCATGTAATACATGTTTGATTATAAAAGTTTATTTTCATAACTACAGCTTATTCAAGTTTTAAGTAAAATAATTTATGGGATGCTGGAAAGAAACAATATGTAGGGTTTATGAACTGAAAAACTACCTAGAAAGTAAATTACTATAAATTAAAAGTGACGTATTGAGATTTTGCTTTTTGATTGCTTCTGTCTTTTAATTTTAAAAAGGTTTGGAAGAGGATGAAACTCCCAGTCTAGAGAGGAAAGAAAGGATAAAATAGCAAGAAAGTCCCTTGAGAAGGTTAATACAAAACCAAGTACATTTTGTACGCTTCTAGCACCATGGAGAGACACCACGCAAGCCTGTGGCCAGACGTAATCACACAACTAGTAAAATGTAGGAGGAAAGTCTGATGTGAAAGAACACCCAGAATACAAAGTAAGAGAGCTGACTTCTGCCTCACCTCCTCCACTAAAGTAACTGTATGACTTTGGATAAAGCACTCGAAAGCTCTATCTAGGACTCAAATGTACTCATCTGAAAAATACTGAAGACACAAAATTTAATGGAATTTCAAGTAGAGAGAAATAAGCTTTATGAAACCCCACAGAACCACGCTTTTAAAATATGTTTTGAAATAAAGTCTCTCCCCTCCGTGTATCTTGGGCCAGGATTTTCATTTACAGAAAAATAATTTTTATTTCATAAACCAGTCAACTAATATTAAAATAAAAATAAATGATGAATTAAAACAATAAGAGCCATAGCCCTGTCTGGTGTGGCTCAGTGGATTGGGTGTCACCCTGCAAACTGAAAGGTCACCAGTTCAACTCCCAATCAGGGCACATGCCGGGGTTGTGGGGCAGATCCCTAGGTGGCGGTGTGCAGGAGGCAACTGAGATCAATATTTCTCTCGCACATCAATGTTTCTGTCCCTCTTTTTCTCCCTCTCTTCCCCCTCTCTAATAACAAACAAAATCCTAAAAAAAAATAAGGTTTATAAAATTACAAGACACAGAAATAAATGTTTTTAAACAACAGATGTTTTTAAATGGAAACGGAAGTAAATTCAATGACTTTTTGGATGAGGTAGGGGATTATGGCACAGGGTGATCTGTTTTTGACTCAGTAGTTTTGACTAATTCATTTTCCAAAATTTTGGAAAAAATTCATTTTCACATATATGATCTACTCCACACAGTGACTTGGTAAAAATGTGCTATCCCCTTATAAAAGATGAAACTGAGGCCAAATGGTGACCCAGCCTTTAAGTGTTAAGGACACAATTAGAAAGTAAGATAGTCAACTTAAAAACCCATGCCCTTTCTAACATGGTAAAATAGAAATTATGATAACTAAAGTCATTATTGTATATCTCTGGGTATAAAGTGCAAAAGTTCAAAAAGTAAAAATGACATTACTTTTTCAAAAGCTTAAATTTCTACCTCCTTGCCTGAGTTATTATTCTCTATATCACCTGCGACTAATGCTATAACACAGTATAAATTCTGACATACATAATAATGCTCTAGAATCACCAAAAATCTCACCTACCATGTAATAAAGAGCACAAGATAAAAATCATACACTCAAAATCATACCCCCAAATGCCTTATTACTCATCGAGTGCTGCATACATGGCTCTGAGCTTAGAACACTGTTCAAAAGATATGTATAAAAATACATTATAGCCCTGGCTGGTGTGGCTCAGTGGACCAAAGGGTCACTGGTTTGATTACCAGTCAGGGCACATACCTGGGTTACAGGCCAGGTCCCCAGTGGGGAGAGCATGTGAGAGGCAACCACACACTGATGTTTCTCTCCTTCTCTTCCTCCCTTTCTCTCTCTCAAAACATAAATAAATAAAATCTTTTAAAAAATACAGTATAAAATGTAAAGTACTGCAGCCGCTGTAGAAAACAGTTTGGTGGGTCCTCAAAACGTTATACATAGAATTAGCTTATGATCCAGCAATTCTACTTCTGAGTACATACAGAAGGAACCAAAAGCAGGGATTGTTAACAGACACTCTTAACCCAGTATTCATAGCAGCATTATACCCAATAGCCAAAAAGTGAAATAACCCAGTGTCCATCAGCAGACGAACAGATAGACAAAATGCAATGTGTGTGTGTGTATTATACACACACACATATATAAATATAATATTTATACACACACAAAACTGATACATGCTACAATGTGGATAAGCCTTAAAAACATCATGCTAAATAAAGAAAGGCCATCATAAACAAATATCATATGATTCCATTAATAATGAGTTATCTAGAATAGGCAAATTCATTGACAAAGAAAGTAGAAGTTCCTAAGGGCTGGGGTCAGGAGAATGAGGAGTTATCCAACTAATCAGTATTCAACAACGATTAGTCTTTTAGAGGAGGGAATAAACAAACAAACAAATAAACAAACAAACAAAAAGGCAAGCCCTAGCCCAGTGGCTCAGTTGGTTGGAGCACTGTCTCCTACACCAAACAAAGGTTGCAGGTTCAAT